AACGTCCAGTGCCTGGTACACAAGATGCAATATATTAATGTTAGCCATAATTAAAGGCTAAGGTAGGAAAATGACTCCTTAGTATTTAGGCTTTTGTGGGAATTTACAACAGCAGGTGACTCACAAGTTTGGTGGGAATCTTATATTCTTTACTGTATGAGTTATATTGTGCAAGCTAAAGATTGGCCTGTATTCTCATGGGTTGAACAGGCTGAATGTTCCTTGCGTAATATTAATTATGTCATCTGCCAGATGACTCGGTCCCTCAGTCAGTTTGAATAATGTCTTCACTCAGCATGTGGTGTCATTTTGGTGCTTTCGTTTACACACATACATCCACTTAAGAAGATCAAGGCATTATTTTTGCATTAGCCTTTCTCAAGAAACTGGAGAAAGAAGAATGAAAAACACTACAGGGAATGGACACCATAGCTATTATAATTTTTTTTTTTAGTTTGAAAAATGAAAGATAGCAACAAGATAGTGAAGGAGGATGAAACTGGAAATGTATAAAAGAATGACTTTATTGAAGAGGAAGTAGATGAATTCTGTTATCAGGATCACTGGAATAAAGCAGTGGGAGGCAAGGTTTAGTTCAGTGTAAGAAAGAAGTTTCCCAAATTAGAGCCTAAGAGTTCCAAAGATGTCCTGGAAACAAGAGAGTGCTCTTCTACAGAGCAGGGCCCGGGCTAGGGATAAGGTCTCTACACTTTAAGACTATTGGAAGCTATTAGAGACTTTTAAAAAAAATTAATTCATAGGGGAAAAATGTCATTCCATTTTTAGCCCATATTTCATTTTAAAAAGACAAATAAGAGAGCTTTTTGCTGTACTCAAAATATGTAAACAAAATAGGATATTAAATTTGCAATTTTCAAACTGGGCATGGTGGTACATGCCTGAATTCTCAGTACTCTGGGAGGCTGAAGCAGGAGTATCACAAGTCCCAGGCCAGCCTGAGCAATTTAGGTACTTAGTGAGCCCATGTCTCAAAATAAAAATTTTAAAAGGGGGCTGGGGATGTAGCTTAGTGTAAAAGCTCTGGGTTCAACCCCTAGAACCACCAAAAAAAGTTGAAACTTCACTCAAGAAATCCCAGATGGGAACTATTTCACACTGAAGTCAGATTAAAACAAGACAGTTCACAAAAAGAATAGTAACAAATGATTTCCACAGTTCTTGAGCCCTCAGCCAGGTCCAGGTAACCACAATGGCCTAGAGTGTGGAAGGAAGAAAGGCTCTTGCATGGAGGGATTCTGGTGTGCCTGAGATGTGTATGTTTGCAGTAGGTGGAGGAGTGGGGCCCTGCCCCTTCACCTCAAGCTATGCAGAAGAATTTCAAAGTGACTTCATAGGGAACTTGATAGGAGACGCCTGCATGAGGACAGGGGGAGGCCAGAGTGCCCTGGGACCTGACACTTCCTCAAGAGATCTGGAAGGACGAGGACAGGCTGACAAACTGTTTTGGCAAAGACCCAGGAAATATGCTACTGTGGGCCCAAGGCAAGGTTGTGAGTGTTCCACCTGGACCAGGCCAGGCCAGGCCAGGCACAATGGAAAGCTGAGTGAAGTCATCCCGGAGCCTCTCCGAGGGAGCAAGTGGATCCTAGTAAAGCTGAAAGTAGGCAGCTTGAAGCACAGAATGAGTCATGAGTTGTCCCCCTGGGACAGAGATGAATGGATAGGAATCAAAGGCTCAACAAGTTGACCCTAATGATGAGATCCCATGAAAGCATTCCTCTCTGGAACTGCCTGGCCCCAGACTGAAAAGCCAGAAGTTGGGGTTACCAAATCAAGTAAAACCACTTATTTAATTCTTCACCATCCTTGTCCTGCAGCCCTACAGGGTGGAATTAGCAAGCTCGAAGCATCAGGGACAGGAAAGAGGCAAAGAGCCAAACTCCACTCCTCCTGGAAGGCAGGTGATCCTTCTGAAAGAGGCCCAGTCCAGAAGGACAGGAGCTTTCACTTTAAATTAAAATTGGAGCTTGTCAGTACAGGAGGAGAAACCTTATATTTCAAAAAAAGGACGAGTTGGGGTAACCTAAGGTAACTATAGAACTATTCCTAAAGTTAAGCAGAATGCAGCAGGACTTGCTAAGTTTTCCTCCAGTGACAGTGGAAAAGCTTTCATTCCATAAAATTTAAAGTAGTAGGAGACAGAAAGAAGCAATTTGATGATAGGTCCTAAGCATAGCCAACTTAGCATCTCAAATACCTCTCATATTAAAAATTTAATTCCTTTGATAATAATAATACGCCAAGCACTTTGAGACTAAGATAGACAGAGGAAATAGCCCCCCAAAACAAGACATAACAGTTGCTTTGGGGGAAAATATGTTAAAATTAGGGGTTTGGGTGCAAGCAGAGACTAGATGCCTGGAATATTTTCTGCACACACAGAAACAACTATGTACCTCAGGAATGATTTATATAGCACGGTTGAATCTCCAACCTAAGGTAATTTATAATTTTGGACTCTATTGTTAGCACCTGAAGGAACATGCCTGGCTGGCTGAGGAAAATGTAGAAAAGCAACAGTTGGTTAGTTCATTGAGATAATTGTTCTTCTTTCCTTACAACTAACAGTTTTTGTTATATGTGTATTGTACATGAGATTTTTGTTTTGAGCTTAGTTTTAATTTCTCTCCAAAAAGCCTTGACTTACTCTTTTAATATTATACCTTAAAGTGTTACTTTCCCCTCTATTATGCCTTAGCTTCAGAAAAAAATCTTTGATCTCCTTGGTACGAGGGAACCACTTTTTTTGAAATTTCTAATTTCTAAGTTTAAGTTCTCCTGAAGGTTTTCAAAGTAAGAAGGTTAGAGGAAGATCAGAAAATAAATCTCTTTTCCATCCAATATTTTGAATGTCTTATCACTGCCATGTATGCAGTCACATAATACTGAGTTCTTCCAAGTGTATTCATAACTATTTTTTCCAATTATTAGCTAGTGACATAAGTTTGGGGCCTCTCCTGTATTTCTGTAGAATCCTGGATCCCTTTTATCAACTGACATCCCTTCAACTATCTATTGTTTTAAAGGTGTAACTAAAGCAGGCCCTTGATGTGCTACATGTGACCTAAGACCACATGAGGCAGACATGACTGGAATCTGAAAATGGACCTGAACTCTGTAGGCCAATGTTGTCCCCCTCTTGCACAGGCAAGAACAAAGGAGAAACACACACACACACACACACACACACACACACACACATATATTGCAAGATATATTATTTATAACAAGATAATAATATATAATATATATTGTAAGAAACATTTCTCTTTATCACACTCAAACTTAATATTCCATGTTTTTAATATTCCATGTTTTTTTTCTGTGTCAAGATAGGTAAAAAGTATCTTTTCTAAGCCGGCCTTCTATGATTCACTAACTTGCTATTGAAGAGCTAAAAGGAATAGTGGATTAGGCCTGGGGATTTAGCTCAGTGGTTTTACCTCCTGCCCAGCAAGCACAAGGTCCTGAGTTCAATCCCCGGTACCAAAAAAAAAAAAAGTAATAGTGGATTGTGTGTTTCTTGAGAGCAGTGACTTTTTCATCTTTGTAGCTTTAGCTCATAGAAGAGTGCCCGGGAATATTAAGGGTTCATTAAAATAATTAATAAGTTTAAGAAGCCAATACCTAAATAACTTGAAATATAAACCAAGGCCTTAAAGTGAGTAAAAGTCACACATCTTCCTTGACAACTATATAGTAAAGAGGATTTGTGACTAGTTCTGGATTAAAATAGAGATTAATGAAAACAAAGTTTTGCTAGGATTCTGCCATTATAGGAAAGTTCTAATAATTAAAAAGAACCACAATCCACTATATTTACACCTTTATTATTTATATATAAACTAAAAATGAACCATCTATTTTTTTATGCCTAATAAAAAAAATGAAAATTGAATCTGAGCTCTTTTGCCCAAATCAAAGTGTTGCTATTCACTTTATTGTTAAGAACTTGATTAAGAAAGAAAGCCATTGAAACTGTTTTTGAAATTTGAACACACATTTTTAAGCATGGTCTTTTGTTCAAGAAACACATGTTTTGGTACTGTCAAATTTGACTCATTTCCCCAGGTGTCCTTTTGCTATTTTTTTTTCAGGAATTTTTCCTGCCAACAGGAATGTATGAGAAAATAATGCAGATAGATAGTCATTAGGGCTGCTGGGAAGGCAGGAGAGGTACAAGGAGAGAACATGAGAGCTTTCAATAGATGGTGCTGCTATGGATTAGCCAAGCAGAACATTTAGTATACAACGAGGAATGTTGCAGAGACTCAGATCTCAAAGAAATAAGAGTACAATATACATAAAAGGAAGCAAAAAGCAAATGAAATAGCAGAGTGACTCCTCAGAGACAAGGGCAATGCACTGCTGTTAGGAAATAAACACTCATATGATTCTCCTCACATAAAACAGATTTTGAAGGGATAAAGGCCAGTCATTCCATCATTTCAGTAACATTAACTACCTCCAAGGAGCTCTTGTTTGGTTTTGCTACATTCAATGGACCAAAATGAGATAATTGATTAAAGGTCACTTAGGAAAAGTAAAAGGTCTGGTAGTTTGTTCCTGTTTCTGGGATTATCAGTATGTTCTGTTTGCTTTGTATCAGGAAAAGAGCCCTGGAATGAGGGTGGGCTGTGAATGTAGATACGAATACCATATGGAGGGCAGATGGAAGGTGTTTCTCAGTGGTGACAGGGTCCCTACCATGGGGGTTATGCCTGGGAAAGATGGCAGCAACTGGAGGTATGGGATTTGAGAAGGCCAGCAACAAGGAGGGCCAAGAGAGGGATGTGAGAGTCAATCAGGAGACCAGAGCTAAGAATACATAAAGCTAAGACAGCCTGTTTGGCATTAGGTCTAAGCATTCTGAGGCACTGATATTTGGAGTGCTTGGTAATGGTGCTATGAATACTTTGGAATAGTAATCAGTACAAACTGAAATTAATGAGATATATTAACATTTTCACTGTTTTTAGGAGAGTGGGCACTCCCTGTCCCTTCCTGGAAAACCAGTCCCACCCATCATTTCTACAACATCTCCTTGGGTATACCAGCCTGCTTATAATTACTTCCGCAAACCAGCAGATGGGCTGGAGAAAGCAAACAGGAGACCAACACCTTGGGAAGCAGCAGCAAAGTCTCCTCTTGGCCTTGTGGATGATGCTTTCAAACCCAGAAACATCCAAGAGTCCATTGTGGCAAATGTGGTCTCAGCAGCTCGGAGGAAGGTGCTTCAGGGGCCCCCAGGACATTGGAATGAGAAACTGTCCTATGTTCCTCAAACACAGAAGGTCAATATGGACTTATTTGAAAGGCAAGAGTATCATGTTACCTCCGTAGCTAATAATAGCATGCCTACCAACTTTCAGTATGGTTCACAGTTGCCATATGCATATCATAGGCAGGCTTCTAGAAATGATTCTGAAATAATGTCCTTGGAGACCAGGTCTGATTACTGCCTCCCCATAGCTGATTGCAACTATAACCCACACCCCAGGGGATGGAGACACCAAACATGAAAGTAAGAACTAATTACCTGACAACTATGATTTTTTTTAAATGCTCCTTTGTAGACGTTTCTACTTTTCTAATAGAGCTAGATTCACTTTTGGTCTTGGCTGGTTCTCATGGGTCATTTTTCTGGGTCTGTGTGTGTATTTATGCATATGCACACACAAGTGTGAACAATTTCCTTGTCTGCAGATGTATAGAGTATTTCTTGGAAGAAAAACTCATGATCTGATATGTCTAATTCAAAATCTTAATTCCATTTATAAGGGATGGCCTATGCAACTAATCTCTGCTCAGTTAAAATGAAACTATTTGCCTTATTCCAGGAATAAATTAATAAAATATGTGTGTTAACATTAGCTGTAGCAGCAAGGAATTTAACATTAGGAACATTTTTAATGAGAATATGCCAATAAGTAACAGTTATATCAAAAAGTAGTTTCTTGGTGTTAAGTATTTCTCTAAAACAGATTTAAGAAAATTTAGATTTTTAAAAAAGAACTGAACTATATGGGCCAGGGATGTAGCTCAGTGGTTCTGGCACCTGCCTCGAAAGCGCAAGGTCCCAAGTTTGATCCCTGTTACCACCCGCCCCCCAAAAAAGAATTGAACTATAGAAGTTCTCAGAAAGAAATATAGACGAGTAAAATTATTATACATTTCAGATGGACTTTTGCAGTAAATGGTGTAATATGTGGGAAACAGAAAGATTTACGTGTAAGGTTTATTTTTAATCTATTTAAAGCCAGCAGCCTGAGGCAGGAATAGACTCTGGATTCAGTTTTCATCATTTGTCAGATGAGAAGATTGAATTATCTAATCTCTTAGATCTTTAACAACTCTGATATTATGAGATTTTCTCATTAGTAGAATGGGCTTTGATGCATTATTCATTTTGGTTGCTCATTATATAAATATCAGATTAAGTTTAGGGGTAGATTAGATAATTAGTGTCAATATACACATCATCAAAGGTCCCCGAAAGGAATTTCTGGACAATAGGTTTTAGGTTACGTGTTTGTGGAGTGAGGATTGATGTGAAGAAAAAAAAAAAAACTATTGATGGATTTAAGGAAGTGGTGGATGAATATGCCTGCTATTATACAACTGTAAGTCATGACCACGTCTTTGGTTCCAGAAAACATGCCACAGAAGCCTATGCAACAAATGGTTCCTTCTTTAGAAACTTCCCATTAGGCTGTTCAAAGGAAGTTGGACAGCTGCTTTATCCATCCCATGACCCAGGGCTTGTTAGCATGACCATGAACCATCACCTTGAACACCTGCTCCTTAATGACACACCCACAAAGTATTACATACAAGGAAACCTGAGGTAGTGTACATCATAAGCAAGTACCTAGAATATTTTTAAATTTAAAGTATCTTGAGTATTCAAAACTTCTTTAGCTTTTTAGATGTGATAACTTTGTTTTGTTTTACTTTGTAAACTCTTGAATTTATGATGGTCTCTTAGGATGATGGTCACTTTCACAGAATAAATCTTTTTTAAAAATTACAGGGCAAAAATGATCTCTTACCTTGGAAATGAAAAAATAAATTGAGGAAATCACACACAGTAGCTGAATCAGTGGTAGAACTGGCCAGATACTAATTTGTTCAGTTATGCAGAAAATAGAAGATGAATACTTTTGAAAGCTTTATTGTTAAATTATCTTAAATTGATATAGTATTAATTCTCTCAAAGTATAATTATTGGATCCCAAGAGTTTTTATGGAATCTTAAAAAATAATGTCTGATTTGGATGTATGGATTAGTTTGTCGGCAAATTTTCAAGACTCCCTCACATAAAATCCTTACTAAATTTAAAATTATCATAGTGGCTGAATCATTCTGGATTTGAATGTTTTAGGAGAAGAGGAATTTAGCAGAAAAAAAAAACAAACTTTACTTGCTGTGGCCATATTCTATTTTGTTGCTTTTTAAGTGCTAGGTTTTATTTACATGAATTGATACACACTGTATTATTTACTGAAACTCACTACACTCAAAAGACAGAAGCAGATTTTTTCAAACTTAGGTATTATAGTCTTCTCCCTCTTTGCTTGCACTACACCAGAATTATCATTTGTATTGAGCTCTCTGAATTTATTCTAGAGAAATGGATGGCAGGAAAGTTATACATGTTTCACTTAAAAGGGCACGGATATCCCATGTTTTTATCAGAAATCAATGCTCTGAGAAGTTCTCCTTGAGCAGGACATGGTGGCACACACCTGTAATCCCAGCTACTCAGGTTGAGGCAGGAGGATTGCAAGTTGGAGCCCAGCCTGGGCCACTTAATAAGACCCTGTCTCCAAATTTACAAGAGAATGAAAATTCAAAGGCTGGGGATATAGCTCAGTGTAGAGCCTCACTAGCTTTAATTCCTAGTACCACCACCACCACCACCAAAACAAGATGAAACAAAACAAAGCAGCCCTACGTTGCAGACAATAGCTCTGAAAGTGAAAGTGTCATTCTCAAGTCATCACAAAGTATACAACGTGTGTATTTCTCTCCAGTTTAATTGAAAATGATAAAGTTATTATGCTCACATTTGATGTAATGGTTGAGGCAGGACCCCTGACACATTGAGATTTGATTCTTATGGGTGAGAAGATTTAGATAACTATTATTCTCAGAAAAATAAAATGACTTGGCCCCTTCTTGCAATTGATAGTGCTTGCAGAGATGAGCTGGCATTTTGTAAATACATACCACATTTGTTGTAAGACATCTTTGAACAATCACAGAATGGCAATCACATAGGTGGAAAGAGTTTGTTTTTTCTCGATGTATTAAAAAACCTCTAAAAATAGAGTGTGTCAGTCATAGAGACACTAATTTGAGATTTTTTTCCTTCATCTTGGGTTTAAATATCATATCCTTACATGTGTGTAAAGTGTCTGTTTTTGAAGTGATTAAAATTTGTTTTGTATTTTGAGTTTTATAAATGCACAGATGCTAGTCCATTCATCTTTAAATATATTTCTTACATTTTGGCACCATCACATACATTGGAAAGGGTTACTTTATTAAGGCTTAACAATATATATGTACTATAGAAATGTACGTGATGATTTAAAACTCTGGATAAAAATAGCATCAAATAGACTTAGCTATAATAGGAATTAGAGGGATGTTTGTTTTTTAAGAAAAAGTAGATTTCCACACTTGATTCTATTCAAACTAGAAGCAACTACACCGTTCACACTTTTCTATTAAAAAACTATGTTCTCTTGCTTATTAGATTGAAATTTGTACCTCTTTTTATCCCAAAAGATTGTATTTGAAAGATTGTGCTGAAAATTATATTAGTAATAAATGTAACTTGAAAATCAGGTTGAGGATTTCATTTTTCCCTATGAAATTCTTTGTTCAAAAGACTTTTTCCTGTTACATATTCTTAAATTTCATTTTCCATAGTAGCTGACAGATATATCAAAAGAATTTCATATTGTATGGCAAATTTTAAGCTGTTTGTTAAAGAAAAAAATGATTCCATGATATTGTTAAAGTATGTTAAAGCATATTGTTAAAGCATGGGGACTGTTCAGGATCATCCAGATAGGTCTAAGGACCACTGCAGCGGGTCTTGCACTGGGGAAGGAAGATTGGGCTCAATTCCAAGTACAGCATGGACAAATGAGAATTCATAGCAATGAGCAGGGTGGGGCTAAGTGGATGGAAAAAGCCCATGGCACTGGGCTAGGAAAGGGAGACGCTAGCAAAATCAAGCTAACAAGATTCCTGCTAAGCACAGGCCAGGGTGACCTGATGGAAGATGAAGGACCTGATGAGATATCAAAAATGAGGAACTTCTGCTAAAGTGACTTAGCAGGGATCTTTGTTAAAACCGGATTTTACAGGAAAATGCACAGCGATCCGAACAGTATATTCAGAAGGCCGATTAAAGTTTGGCCAAGCAAAGACTCTTTTATCACTGTAACATTTAAAGGCTTCTTCTAAAACTGTCCTGGAAATATAATCAATTTCACATGTAGTCAAGAGGTTTGGGATACCAACATATTTTGACATTATTCTTAATTAAACCTTTCCTTAGTGGTGTATCAGAAATCAATCAATCCTAAGCACAAGCACATGTCTTGGCAGCATGCTGGTGGGTTTCTAAGGGCCCTCTGGGCTCTTCTCTCATCTGTGGCCATGTTTGGTTCCCAGCACTTCCAGTTCTTTGTCCTCTTTAGGCTGACCCAAGGCTGACCTCTGAATAACAGAAGCCTTCCTATTAAGTAAAATTATTTAAAAAATGACTTAGCCTCTTTCTACAGAATATTAAAACCATCAACTGAAATGTGAGCTTCTCACGGTCAATTGATGTCATATAGCACAACTTTTCAACACGTTTTTCTTGGTAAATTCTAAGTAAAATGGCTATTTTTGGTATTCTGATAAAAATGTTTTTTAAAGGGCCACCATTTGAAAACATACTTCAAGAATAAATAACGTTTTAAAAACTTAAATGACTTAATACAGTGCTAGGGCTAGAGATATAGCTCAGTGATAGAGCATGCTGCCTAGCATGCTGGAGGCCTAGCATGCTGGAGGCCCATAGTGGGATTCCTAGCATTGCAAAAAACCAAGGCAAGTCAAACAAAAAATGAGAGAGAGAGGGGGGAGTATTAGACTGTTTCAGGATGTTAATACTATGAAAAAAGTTTCTTTTCTCTGAGAAATTCCTAGTACTTTGTAAACTATAAATTTCAAAACATACTGAGACATAGGCAGTATCACCTTCACATGGAGCCAACAGGTACCTAGAAGGAAAATTCAGCTCCCTGCCCGATCTCCCATGAACACAGCAGCAGAATCACCCTTAAACTAGCCAATGTGTCCCTAGTCCATTATTACACAATGCTTCCTTCTCAGCCATTCTGGCAAATCACAAGACCTGTGACTTCTCCAACTTAAAAAGGCAATACTTTCACAAAGGGCATTTCATTATTTATAACCTTATAAAACATGACAATTTATATTTCTACAAAGATCTGGCAGTCTCTACCCCCTTATAAAAATTAGGTAATTTTGTGAAGGTCATTTAAAAAGAAAATGCCTCCAGTGTGTCTTGCTCTGATGTTTATTTTTCTCTCTCTCTACAGCTGTAGTAAAGATTTGCTGTATTGTACCTTTCTTCTGTCAACTTAAATCATAAACATTCCTCCACCCTTACCCACCTCCCCCAGAAAAAGGAAAAAGCTTTACTCATCTCCACAGCACATTGCAATTTGTATTTCTTACTTGAAGTCCTGAAAAAGCTTTATAAAGCAGAACCATCTCAACGTGATTATTTGAGTGTGAGGTTGGCCTTATATTACCAAGTAAGTTTTAATAGATTTATGTAGGCAAAGGCATAATCTTAGGCCAAAATTCCCCCTGAAGAAGCTGGTCTATATTACTATGAACAAACAGGGGTAGGGATAGGATTTCCAGTACAGACTTTGTTCATTGTCACTTTTGCTACAAACATTTTTCATGACAATTGAGCTCTTAGTGTATTCTTTAAGGCTCTTTCTTCAACACAGGGCCATTTCCAGTGCATGTGTCAGAAAGTAGAATGCCATCCTTTGTATCACCTCTGCCCTCCTTTGGATGAAGCAACCATTTCTGAAGCAACAAAGAAAACCCAGACACAGGAGCTTTGAAGATGCTTTTAGCACCCAGGGGTGATCCCTGTCTGACCCATCAGGACTGGCCTCATTTTAAAAGCTTGGCTTGATTGTTTTTCTTGTTGATCTACATGTCATTCATACCACAGCTTTCTACAAGATTAAGACAAAAGACAAAGAAAAAGAATTTAAAAATAAACAAAGGGTGGATGGGTATTTTCCAAAAACTTGTCAGTGCAGGATCAGAAGCTGTGATAGTTTTCCTCACCCATCATAAGGGTCATAGATAATGCTCCTGTAACAAAAGAGAAGTTAATAAGAGAAAAAAGAATTAAAAATAGACTGAATCAGTTTTACACGACATGGATGACTTCAAAAATGAAGTCCCAAAGACCTAGGAAATCTGTCCATTGTTATGCTTAAGTTTGATGACAGACAGCCACACAACAGGGTTTGATCTAGCGGTGACAGACTGAGGTGGGATCCCAGCAAGGCCATTCTGTCGGTATTCCTTTTGGTTTCTCTGTGTGGTATTTCTTCCTCTCAAGACAAGGCAAGAGCCTCTAAAATGAGTCCCAAGGGAGAAGGGAAAGAGTGACCTTTCCAGCTCTTAGGACTTCCTTGGGGACAGAGGGTTTATGGGTTCAATGACTTTGATCAGGGAAGAAGAATTCTAGTTTTTATGACTGCCTTCATAAAGGGGAGGAAGAATAATGAGAGACACAAGGGTTGGAGAAGGTCAGAGGGAGACCTAGCTACTGAGGCTTTTCCAATTTCCTTCAGTTCAAAGTACTCAGCAAGCCAAGACACTGTACTTTGGAATATCATGTTCTGATCCCTGAAATCATTACTTGAATATTTTTATTTTATTTTTTTGGCAGTTAAAGGCCACTTTCCCCTTGAATTCAGGTGATCTTTCTCTGGTTTCTATTTGCTGTGTATCCAACCTGCTACCTATGAGTTAGACATGCCTTGTTATAATAAAAAGATTTTAAACTATAAGAAGTCTTATCACTTTCATACATTAACTATTTTGTATATTTTATATTTGGCCCAAGACAATTCCTCTTCACTGATGTGGTCTGGGCAAGACAGGCGTGTCTAAGGGCCAGGGATTTAGCTCAGTGGTTCTGCCGCCTGCCCTGCAAGAGCAAGGATCTGAGTTCTATCCCCGGTACCAAAACAAAAAACAAAAAACAAAAAAAAAAACGCGTGTCCAAACTGTGGGCCATATGTCAGAAATTCTGTAATAACCTTGGCTATGGCTTGTAGCAATACAAAATACCTATGGTTTATTGAAGTTTATACTTTCTAGAGGGCTAAGCTGAGGAAAAATAACCTTGATACATCAGTCTAAATTTAATGCAAAGCTAAACCAAACTCTATGTCCAACATGAGTTTGGTAAGAAAAATAAACAAAAAAAATGACCTACAATAATTTCTGGAAACTCAATTGGTTCTCGAATAAGCAATGTATCTGAATTCCTCATTTTGCATAAAAAGGGAGATCTTGAAATATAAAAATTCAGTGTCCAAAGTCTGAAATGCTATCATATAGAAAAAAGTCAGAGCTATGGGCAAATTCTATACATATTTTGCCTGAGAAGTTGCAAATAAAAAACACATTTACAATATAAATACAAATTTTCCCCAAAATAAGTCTGATATATTTATAGCTTGTTCTTATTTCATCACGACCATGCTATAGAATTGTCTTAGCCCATTCCTGAAACAGTATTTTATCAAAATGCAAGAGATGTGGCAATTCATAAGGAAGAGAAATTTATTTTTCACAGTATGGGAGCTGGAAAGTTGATGAAAAGGCAAACGTGGTATCAGTAAGCATTGCTCTCTGCTTGGTCATGTGTCCACATGTGACAGACAGCACAGAGGGCTGGCCTTTCCCTTTCCATCCCCTCTGTCCCACCCATAGGACAGAGCTCTCCTGGGCTGATCACTTCCACAAGGCCTCACCCTTTCATACTGCGCACTGGGGATTAAGTTTCAACATGAATTTTGGGGGGACCCAGATATTCAAATTGTAGCATAAATTATTCTTAAAATAAATAAAGCACATTTTTAAAAGAGTCACTCCTAGATTTTTTTTTTAAAAAAGGAAGTGGGGTTTGGAGGAATGAAGAAGTTAAATTTTAGCTATTAGTATAAAACATGTTTTTACTACCATGAAGACCTGACATTTATGGCACAAATATTTCCATGTGTATTGTATTTACTTAAAACAATAACTCTCCCTTTAGGGATAAATTATCTAAACTTAGCATTTTTCTCCACTTACTGTCTTTTAAAGTTGTCCGTAGCAAGACTTGATTTTAATCTAAGAAAACTGGAGCTTTGAAGAAGGCATCAGAATTAAAGGCCAGTGGGTAACGTTCTTCCTGAGTTTTAATTTCTCAGACAAAGGGAGACATGGAGTTTTAACAGCATGAATAGTCAGCAGGTCTAGTATCATTGAACAGTACTTGTGCTCCTATCTTAGACCTCTTTTTCTTGGCACAGCAAATATACCTGGAATTGAGTTTAAAGTGACCACAAACTCAAATCCTCTCCCAGAGTTGAATGCTAACATGAAAGGGCTCACCATAGTCTGTGGCCCCAGACTACCCAGAGTTGAGGAGTAAAACCTAGGAAGGAACATGGAATGCCACAACTTATCATTCCTCTAGAACCCACCCCTCTTGATCAAATATATAATGTCC